AAAAAAAACAGAGGGAACCATATTACTCCAACAACCTACTGACAAATTATACATACAACTAGCTCAAAGAACATAATATATGTCTAGTCAAGGTTTATTTGAGAACGTTTTGTTTTTTTCCCAAGCTTTATCTACTATGTAGTACAGGGTAATTAAAAGTACCAGACTGGTGGAACTAACCTTCTTGGGTGTTTAACAGCCATACTTTGAGATCTATACTAATTTGGTGAGAGGGACATAAAGGACAGTTTTTTAAAACCTTGCCCTCATAGGTCAACTAAATTCCAGGTGACTATGAGCAACCCTTAAAAGATTTAAGTGATGGACAGAAAGAGTCTGCCTATGAAGGTTCCTGCCTCACCTCATGGCTGACAGTACCTCAGTGGACCCTGGGGCTGGTGTTGCCATCTCAGGGACACAAGGCTCACAGGGCTGTTTGAGGACGATACAGCCATTTCTACTAGACTTCACATTCAGAGGCCACTGGTGAGCTATGTCCACATCACTCACTGAAACTACCAGCAAAACCCATTTATGAAATGCCAGCAACCGTTTTATGTGAAAGAATACAGAATTTCACTTTATAAATAAATTGGTTAATCTGGGTCAACTGTATGGTCTTAAACACCCAAAAGGAAAATATAACCAAAGATTAAAGTGATCAGTATAATTCTTTAAGAGTCCATGTGTACAGCTAAAGGCTACATAACAAAAAACAATGCCAGACAGGAGATACCTTCGAGTTATTGGCCTGGGTGGCCCAAAGTAATCCAGCATAGAAATGAGAAAATGAATAGCAGACCCACAATCTTATCTAAAGGAATGTTGGCAACTGCTGCTAGATGAGGAAGAGCTGATCTTCCTAAAACAGGAAACTCTAGATAGGCTGACTAGACTCACCGGATGGACTTGCACTAGGTAATGGCTGGGGGCACTAATAGCACAGTGGACAGTAACAGGGATGACAGTGTATATGGGCTCCAGTGGCAGCTCCAGTGGGGGAGGGGAGGCTATGGGAAGATGCCATTTGGGATGCGGGTATAAAGATGAATAAGATTGTTTGGGATGTTCTGTATAAAATACAGAAAAACATCTATAAATAAAAAAATAATAGAAAAAAAAAGGAGGTAACCAACAGGATTGACTGCAGGGGATGTGGACACAATGGATAAAGTGTGTGCATGTGCAAAATGGTGTGGGGTGGATCTGGGGTCAGAAAAGAAGGGTCAGATACAGAGAGTCAGGCTAGATACAAGTCTTCTCAAACTACATCTGGAATAGAACTCAGGAGTCCAGGAATTCTAAATGGAGTATGCTTTCCAGGGCAAGCTGATGTTATACATGTCAAGATTTCTTTAAAAGTTACAAACCCAGCTGGGCATCATGGCACAGGCCTTTAATCCCAGCACAAGAGGTAGAGGCAGGTGTGAGCTCCAGGCCAGCCTGGTCTACATAGTGTGCTCCAGGCCAGCCTGGGCTACAGGGACAGCCTGTCTCAGACCAAAAAAAAAAAAAAAGGTTATAAAGCAAGGTGTCAAACTACTATATAACCAGATGAAGTTCATCTCCCCAGGAAGTGAAGGGCAGGCCTTGCTACAAATAAATGGAACAAAATTATGACACCGAGAGTCCTACCCGGGATTTTCTTGGCCCAGCCGATCATGTGCACCAGTTCCTTATCAGCCAGCTTGGTGAGGGACATCATCATGGAGGCCTCGGTGAAGGGCATGCTGGGGCGGCTCACTAGCACATGGGGTGGCTCTGCCTCCAGGAGAGTGAGCACCAGCTGCTCTGGGCTCAGGGCGCTCAGTAGAAGCTCCTTCACTCGGGGCACATGCCCACTGTTTTTCTTGGATTTGCTTAGGCAGTGCAGGTGCTCAGCGGGGGTTCTCTGTCTTCGCACTACACGGTACCCACACCTTTCCCTCCGGGAGCCTAAAGGAAAGAGCAGATAACAAAACAGTGGTTTCTCTGTCCCAGATGCCAGTACACTACTGAGTGACCAGGATAAAAATGAAGTCATAAGGGGCTGAGGGTATAGGTGAGTGGTTATCCTAGCATGTGCAAGGCTCTGGGTTTGATTCAGAATATCGTAAAGAAAATAACAAAATGAAGAAATGCTATCATTGTGAGGTCCAACTTTTGTTTTCTGGAGCCTGTGGGCCAAGAACCAAAGATAACCACTGTCTGAGTATATTAGCAACATCAACATAATGTGTTTGGGAACCTTCAGCGCTCCCCTTCAAGGCTGTCTGCATTCTTAGTCCCTTTCGGTGTGCTGACATATCACAGCTTTCCTCAAGTGGGAAATGAGGAAAAGTCAGGATTTCAATGCTGATATTTCCACTTACCAAATAATACACTCACATTTCAAGAACACTTATACACATGTACTTTTTTCTTTTTACATACTTACACAAACAAGCATATGTCAAATTAATTGAACAAACCTGGAAAATATAAAAGAAAATGAATTTGGGCATAAATATTTCCAATCTTTTTTCACTTTTATACTTTTTCATATTTAAAAAATATTTCATTGATGTGTACGAGTGTATTGCCTGCCTGTATATAAGTAAACCTGTGTTGCACAATGCTTGCAGAGGTCAGAAGAGGCTGTCAGATCCCCTAGAATTGGAGTTACAGATGGTTGTTAGCAGCCATATGGGTGCTGGGAATTGAACCTGGGTTTTCTGCAAGAGCAATCAGTGCTCTTAACCGCTGAGCCATCTCTTCAATCCCTATTTTTTAATATTTTATAAACAAAATTAGAATCATGGTATATATACTATTTTATAACCTACTTACAAATTTTTTTTATTTTTGTGTATGAGTGTCCTGTCTGCATGTATGTAAGTGCACCTGTGTCATGCAATGCCTGCGGAGGCCAGAAGAGGGCATTGGATCCCCTGAAACTGGAGATATGGATGGTTGTTAGCCACCACATGGGTGCTAGGAACAAAACCTGAGTCCTCTGCAAAGCAGCCAGTGCTCTTAACCACTGAGCCATCTCTCCAGCCCTTCATTAATCTACTTTTATCTTTTAAAAATATGTCACTTGGACCACAGGGACATACAAACCTGATTACCTGAATTCAATGCTCAGATTCAAGTAAAGAGGTCTTATAAGGTGGCATGTGTGTGTAATCCCAGCACTCCTACAAGATGGAAGACAGAAACAAAGAGAGTGGCCCAGAAGCTCCCAGTCAGCCATCCTGGAGAATGCAACATGGTAGAAACGAGAGACCCTGCCTCAACAAGGAGGAGGAGAAAACGGACTCCCTAAAGTTGTCATCTGACCTCCACATATGCACCGTGGCACATGCATATTCTCTCTCTCTCTCTCTCTCTCTCTCTCTCTCTCTCTCTCTCTCTCACACACACACACACACACACACACGTGCATGTACACACATACATGCACATGTACACACACACATAAACACACACACGCACAAACATGCATATGTACACACACACACACACAAGATAGCAGAATTTAAAATCTGTAAAGCATTCCATTGTATTAATATCATGCTCTTTATTTTAGAAATCTTGTGTTTGTTAGGCATGGTGACACAGGCCCCTAACTATAAGAGCAGCTATGGACATGCCACAAATGTGAGGCCTACCTGAGCTAAGTTCTAGGCTAGCCTAAACTACAGAAAGAGACCTCATATCAACTAAAATTCAAAAGTCCCACATTGATATAAATTGGGTTGTTAGAATTTATTAATTTAAACATAATCAAAATTTATCTTTGTAGATCCATGCAATTACTTCCTTATAATAAAGTCAAAGAGGTCAACGTGTTAAAATAAGGCATACATACATTTCAAATTTTGATACTCATTCATAGATTACTCTTCAAAAGTATTTAAAAATTCATAATCTAAACAATAATTTAAGGACTACCTATTTTCTCACAATACTTTAGGCATTAATATTCCTTTTAATCTTTGTTGAGCTTAGGAGAAACTAAGTGATCTTTTGTTATTTTGCATTTTGTGTGTGTGTGTATGTGTGTATTGCCTGCATGTAGGTAAGTGCACCTGTGTCATGCAATGCCCTCAGAGGTCAGAAGAAGCTGTCAGATCCCCTGGGACTGGAGTTACAGACAGTTGTTAGCTGCCATGTGGGTGCCTGGATTTGAACATGGGTCTTCTGCAAGAACAACCAGTGTTCTTAACCGCGGAGCCATCTCCCCAGCCTTATTTTGCATTTTTTAAATTGCTAGTAAAATTCATTATATTTGCCCTTTGTCTGTTTTCCCCTTTTCTCCCCCAAAATTCATAAAGGTTCTTTATTTAGCATTGCTATATGCAATATCTGACTTATGTTTTTTTAATATTTTATTATTTTTATTTTACGTGCATTCATGTATTGCCTGCATGTAGGTCAGTGCACCCATGTCGTGCAATGCCCGTGGAGGACAGAAGAGGCTGTCAGATCCCCTGGAACTGGAGTTACAGACAGTTGTTAGCTGCCATGTGGGTGCTGGGATTTGAACCCGGGTCTTCTGCAAGAACAGTGTTCTTAACCGCTGGGCCATCTCTCCAGCCCCTGAATTGCTATGTTTTTAAGCTTTGCTCATCCTGTTGTATGACACTTTACTACATCACATCAAAACCATGAAAGTATTCTCTATCTTCTTAAAAGCATGTGTGGTTAAAATTGATTTTGAATTTTATGCATATTTGTATTATATGATATTAATATTTTATGTCCTAGTCCCCAAATGAAAATGCACTTCTCCCTGTATTGGTTCCAGCATAAGCTTTTTTGTACTAATTTTAAATGTTTGTCAGTTAATAATTATTTATAAAGGGGTCTTATTCCAGATTCTCAATTCTGTTTTACTACTCTATACCTCTATTCCTATGCTAATATCAAAAGTATTTTTGTTATTGTAGGCTTATGGATCAAAATATAATGGAATAAATTTTTAAATGGTGATGGGGCAGCTGGGCGTGGCAGTACATTCCTATAACTCCAGCACTCAGAAGCTTGAGGCAGGAGGATCAGGAATTCAAGGCCAGCTTTGGCTACAGAGTACATTCAAGGCTAGCCTGAAATAAATGAGATTTTATCTGAAAAAAAAAAATAGAAAAACTCAGTTTTGGGGGTTTTTTGGTCATTTTGAAACAGGGTGTCCCTGTAGCCCCAGCTGGCCTGGAACTCACTATGTAGGCCAGGCTGGCCTTGAACTCAGAGACTGCCTGCCTCTGCCTCCCGAGTGCTGGGAGTACAGGTGTGTGCCACCACACCTGTCTTCAGTTTTTTTTTTTTTAAGACAAGGGTCTCACTCTGTAGCCCAAACTCCCAGAAATATGCCTGCCTCTGCCTCCCAAGTGCTGGGATCATATGCATCAGACACCAATGCCTAGCAAAGATATGTTGATATTTTTTATTTGTTTGTTTAAATATGTATCTTAACCATTTTATTAAACTCAGATATCTATTTTTCTTTTTTTTTCCTTTTTTTGAGAGTTTCATACATACTTATAATGTGTTTTGATCAAATTGACCTCCCATTCCCTCCCCTTGTTTGTTTTTTGAAACACAGGCTTACTATAGTTCTACTTACTGGTACTACTTACTGGTAGTTCCCAGCACCCACATGGGAACTACCTATAATTCCATTTCCAGGAGATCTAATGCCCATGTCTGGCCTCCGTGGCCACTGAACACATGTGCTACACATGCAAACACACAGGAAAAACACATACACATAAAATAAAAATAAATCTTTAAAAAAAAAAGTAATGACAAGAAAATAAACTGGAAAATAGAAAAATAAACCTCAGAAAAACACTGTTAAGGGGTTGGAAGTGTAGTTCAGTGGTAGACTGCTTGCCCGTCATGCACAGGGCCCTAGGTTTGATCCTCAGCATCACAAAAGAGCACTAAGTAAATAATAATAATAATAACGATGATAATTATAATACTATAGTTTCTGGGGATGAATGAGGAAGGCAAACCAAAAACCCAGACAATATTACTTAAGATAAAGTACAAATGATTGAGCCGGGTGTGATGTCGTATGCCTTTAGTCCCAGCACTCAGGAGGTCGAAGCAGGCAGATGTCTGTGAGTTCAAGGCCAGCCTGGTCTACATAGTGAGTTCCAGGCCAGCTGGGGCTACAGGGAGACTCTGACTCAAAAAAGACCAAAAAACAACAAAATAATTGTGGTTAGAGTTTTCTAAGTTGTATTTTTTTTTAAACTTAGGAACAAATATTGAAATTCTCAAGTTGATTTTAAAAAGTGTGTAAATAAAAATGTCACTAAAGGAATTTAAATAGATATGACTTCTCAACTTGCAGAAGAAGAAAAAGAAAAACATAGAAAGTGATCAATTAAAAGGAAACAAATAGGAATAGAAGCCATGATTGTTCTAGTTTGTTTCTCTATTTCTGTGACAAAACACTCTGACTAATACCAACTTGGGGAGGAAAGGGTTTATTTGTCTTACATCTCCCTAGTCACAGTTCATCAGGGAGCCCAAGGTAGGAACACAGGGCAGGAACCTGGAGGCAGGAGCTGGAGCACAGGCCATAGAGGATCGCTGCTTACTGGTTTGCTCCTCTGGCCCCTGCTCAGCCTGCTTTCTTATGCAACACAGGCCCACCTGCCCAGGGGTGGCACCACTCACAGTGGGCTGGGCCCTCCCACATCACTCAGCAATCAAGAAGATGCCCTACAGACATGGCCACAGGCCAGTCCAATGAAGGCAATTCCCCAGTTAAGACTCCCTCAACCTAGGTATGTCAAATGACACCAAAGCTATCCAGCACAATGATCAAATATGCAGCTTTAGGGGTTTGCTTGGTTTTGTTTGTTTCTGTTCACACTTACCTAGCTCTGTTAGCTGCTGCAGGGAATAATCAATGCAATGTGATGGATACCAATGCTTAAAGATAATCCCCATGCCTTAAATCTCCTCTCAGCCAGACCACCTATCTCTACTGTCAGCTTTCACTAGGACCCAATACAATAAAAAAGGAAGCCACACTCACCACACTTGACCATTCCTACTTCATAGCACTTCCGGAGTCGGCAGGCCTGGCAGCTTTTACGCCGGTTCCTGTCTATGGTACACTGATTTGTAGCTGGACAAATATAATCATTATGTCCTACAGGAGGGGAAAAAGAGCTATTATTATAACATTTTGGTTAACAACACTGATAACACCACCCAGCAGAGAGATGGGGAAAGGTACAGGTAGAAGTCACCAAGTTAGCCTACATTGTCACCCTGATAACATGCAGGGGAGAACTAGGCACAGCTCAGTATTCTACTTTGAGCTGAAGTGTTATTCAGAACTCTTAAGAGATACACTTAGAAATACTCTCCTTTAACCAAGTGGGGTACTGCATGCCAGTAATCCTCCCAGCAGTCAGGAGACTAAGGCAGAAGGATCACAAGTTCAAGACCAGCCTGGACAAAAAGCGATGGACAGAGAGATGCAGAAAGATGGGGGGGAGGGGAACTCAGTCACATAAAATTTATTTATTCCAAATACACAGTTACTTGTGTATTGAGTTACCAGATTTAACTGTTTAAATTCATATATATGCATATATATGAAATCTCTCATAGATTTAATATGAGAGTTCTATGGAAATTCAAAGTCAAATGAGAGAATCAAGCCAAAAGGCTCACATAAGAAATCAGCATCTACATAAGATCCTGCTGCGCAACAGGAACTGTGTTCCTGCTGTTCTCGACTCTTCATCTCCCACTAAGCTTTGAGCCCCTGCAATATGCCAGAGTGGGTAGAGGATATTTACCCACCAACCGGTGTTGGGCTTGGCCATGGAACATTCTTTAGCCAAGGCTAAATGTGCTGCTCTAACAGTTGGCTTGGCCTCCTGAGGTAGCCACTGGTCCAAGGAGAATGCAGAGATGTGTGGAAGAGAACTGAACTCAACCCAAAGTCCAGACCCAAGCCTTCTGTAGTAGAGCCATCCTAACCAACTCATGGACCCACCCACACAAAAACTAATGGTCAGTGTAGTAAGATACTAACACTTTGAAGGTGTCTGTTCTATAGCAACCTCAAAGACAATGATACTTTTTAATTATATGTAGAGATAAAATTTATAGTTTGAAAATTACTATTTCAGATACAGTAAGGAGAACAGATTAGAGGCATCAAAACTGATAAAGGCCAGGAGACCAGGTAAGAACCTGCTTCATGTATGCAAAAGAAAGGCTGCTGGGTTGGACATGGGTCTGAGAAAGATTTAAGAAATGAGAAGTAAGCCAGGCGTGGTGGTGCACACCTTTGATCCCAACACTTGGGAGGCAGAGGCAGGCGGATCTCTGTGAGTTCAAGGCCAGCCTGGTCTACATAGTGAGTTCCAGGACAGCTGGGGCTACAGGGAGACCCTGTCTCAAAAAGACCAAAAAAAAAAAAAAGAAAAAGAAAGAAAGAAATGGGAAGTAAAATTAAATACTTGAAAAGTGAGAAAAGTATTTGGGTACCATTTTTTTGGTACTGAGGGTTGAACTCTGGGTCATTCTAGGCAAGGTCTCTACCACTGAGCTCTAGTCCCAGTTCTGGTGCCTTTTCTTTTTGTTTTAGTTTTGGGGGCAATTTTTTTGGAGACAGGGTCTTGTTAGGGAAAGAGGAATTTACTGCTTGGTTGAATTTACTGCTTGTAACTGATTAACTCGACTGGAGACACAGGCATCCGGAGATAGGGGCAAGTGGTGCAGCCCCCAGAGCCTGACCTGTCTGATCTGTGTCGTGTCATGTAGGCATGTCTGCTTACACAAGATAACAGGGAAGGGTTGCACCAGGCACATACCACCCACCCTTCCCCGACTGGGGACACCTGAAGGGAGTTGTAACATTTTTCTTGTTTTGAAGTTATTGGTTTGTGAAATGCTTGCTTTGAAACTATTGGTTGTATAAGCGCGGGCTTTTGTGTAACGGTTGTGGGAGCCTATATAATCTTTACCTGAAGTTGCTTGGGGTCGATTGCTCCAACCAGACCTGCGTGTCTTGGAAGGACAGTCAGCCCCAGCTAGCTGGCCTAATAAAACTCTGCTTGATTTTTGCATCTCCATACTCGTGCATTTGTTCTCCTGAAGAGACCCACCGAGTCATGGACCCTAACAGTCTCACTGTGTAACTCTGGCTGACCCGGAACTTACTATGTAAACCAGGCTGACCTCAAATTCACAAAGATCTGCCTGTCTCTGCCTCCAGAGTGCTAGGATTAAAGACATACACCACCACACCCAGTCAGTATTTCTTAATCGTGTTTCACTAGTAAACCAAATAGCCTGAACTTCTCATATGAAGCCTATAATGGACCAGGTTTTCAATGTTAACAATGGGTGAATCTCATTGGTAAGGAAATAAGCCATAAAGAAACAAATTGAAAATGGACACATCAGAAGAGTCTATTTATAGAAAAACAAAATTCTGAAGCTAGGGACATAGTTCAGTTGGTACAACGCTTGCCCGGCTTGGGTAAGGCCTGGGGCTCAATTCCCAGCACCATATAAGACTGGGCATACTGGCACATGACTAAGTTCAGCACTGAGGAGACAGAGGTAAAAGAATTAGAAGTTTAAGGGCATCCTTGGCTACTTAGAAAGTTAGAGGCCATCCTGGGCTAAGATTTTGTCTCAAGAAAAAAAGAAAGAAAAATGGAATTCTGTTAATAGAAAAAAATGAAATGACAGTGCTGAGAGTCGACCTCTGGCCTCCACACACATGCACATATGAACATGTATACCCTTCACGAACACACACGCACCCATGCTTCATGAACATGAACACACACACACACTCACAAAAGATAACATTTCTAATATGGCCTCAATGTTATTAAAGCACTGTGATTTTTTTACATGTAGGGGGAATAGAAGTATGTGTGTATATGTATGTACATATACAGCTATATACATAAACATATTCCATAACTCCATTCCCTGAGACCTGGGGCCAGGGACCTTCCAAGAGCAATGAGAAAGGAGAACTAAGATCTTGGTTTATTATCACTTTCCAGTAAGAGAAAGCAGGGTTCCACGAAAGAACAGCTTATTCCAGAACCAGAGTAGGTAACAAACAGGACAAGCCTGAAACATTTTGTGCCAGGGAGGAAAAAAGTACCCAAAAATTATAGAAACATAATAAAGGCAGAAGCCCGTGTAAGGACCCCTGCTGCCCAAATCTGAGACAATGTAGACATCAAAAATAATAATATTATTAATAATAATGAATTTAATGATAATAATCCAATACAAAAAATAGGAAACTGTATGTCATACTGATACAAGTTAATTCATTGAAAATTTAATGAAAAACAAGATATTTACATAGATTCAAAAGGTTTTCCCACAAAAACATTCATTACAAAAGGAAAAAGAGTAATTTTACAGAATAGATGCCTGGCAGCCATCACCTTAATTAAATAATCAAAATGAACCACATTAGTAACAGGACAAATTGAAATCATGTACCAAATGAAAGAAATCAACGAGATCAGAGCACCACTTCTGTGATATTCTTGCTAATAACATAGGCATCTAATGGTGAAACATCACACAGAGCCAAAGTCAGGGACATTCTGCAAAATGGCTGGCCTCAGTCTTCCAAAGAATCATGATTATGGAAATCAAGCAAGCTCCAAAGAACCACTCTACACAGAAACTTAAGACATAACACTTACACACAAAGTCTATTACTGAGCTTGACCCTTGTCCTAGAGAGGGCACTGATGGGAAGACTGGCAAAACTCCAAGCCTGAGCACTGGGTAGTAGTAATAGATCCATGTTTGTTTCCCAGTTTTGACAGTTGTATTGCAGCTATGCAGGAAATAGATGTTGGAACATTCTAGGTTGATAAAGGGTGTTAGTGACATGCTCCAAGTGATCCCAGGGAGAAGTTTGAGATTTTTTAAAAACAAATGTTTGGGCAACAGGTGTGATGGTGCACATCTGTGATCCCAACACTTGGGAGGCTAAAGTATAAGGACTACAAGTTCAAGGCCAGCCTGGGCTACACAGCAGCAAGACTCACTCAAAAACAAAAACAACTAAATGTCTGTATAGGCTTTCTAAAAGATATTTGCTCAACTACAGATGAATTCAAATACATAATCAAATTTAGATCAAATTATAACACTATTCTATAACTATTCTAGTTAAAGTTCTGAAATTAACAATTTTTACCAAACATCAGACTTTAAAAAAAACAAAAAACAAAAAACATTTTTCTGGGGCTGGAGAGATGGCTCAGTTGTTCTTGCAGAAGACCCCGGTTCGAATCCCAGCACCCAGCTAACAACTGTCCATAACTCCAGTCCCAGGGGATCCGACAACCTCTTCTGACCTCCATGGGCATTGCAATACACCCAAACACATAAAATAAAAATAATAAATAAGTTTAAAGAAAACATTTTTTCAGGAAAAAAAATTTACCTATCTTTCTATCTATTCATTATTTCTTTATTTATGTGTGTGCACATTGTGCACAAACAAGTGCCACAATCTAGTGTGGAGGTCAGAGGATGACTTCTGGGAATCATTTCTCTGCTTCTACAATACAGGTCCAAGAGATTGAACTCAGGTCATCAGGCTTGGCAGGATGTGCCCTTACTGAGCCATCTCATCAACCTAAAGAACATTTTTCTCTTTAATATTTTATTTTTTTTATTTTATGTGTGTGAGTGTTTTGTCTGCATGTATGTAAGTACACCATGTGTGCAGTGCCAGGAACCAGAAGAGAGTGTCGGCTCCCCTGGAATTGTAATTAAGGACAGGTGTTACCCACCGTGTAGATGCTGGGAACTGAACACTGGTCCTCTGTAAGAACAGACAATGCTCTTAACCCCTGAACCCTCTCTCCAAGTCCCTAAAGAACATGTTTCGAAACCAATGACTCTATATTTAGACCATGAACAAATTTTATAATTCTATCCAACTTTAGGGAGATTATGATAGCATGTGTTTAACAAACTACAAATGGAAATCCAGTTGTTTATGGCTTTGCCACTGTGCCATGGGTTGGCCTGGGGTCTGCATGGCAAATCCGTAGACTACACAGTCTAGAAGTAGTAAAAACAACCTCTATGAGAGATGTAAAACTGTCCTCTGGGCCTCTGCAGGGCTAG